ACCTGGGTGTTGACAAACGGGTTCGATTCCCTACACAGGTACAATGTGTGAATCTCATTTCTGGTGTCATTAGTTTAACCTGGGTGTTGACAACGGGTTCGATTCCCTACACAGGTACAATGTGTGAATCCCATTTCTGGTGTCATTAGTTTAACCTGGGTGTAGTGGTTGACAAAGGGGTTCGATTCCCTACACAGGTACAATGTGTGAATCTCATTTCTGGTGTCATTAGTTTAACCTGAGTGTCGCACAAGCGGTTCGATTCCCTACACAGGTACAATGTGTGAATCTCATTTCTGGTGTCATTAGTTTAACCTGAGTGTCGTCACAGCGGTTCGATTCCCGGCCACAGGTACAATGTGTGAATCTCTCTGGTGTCATTAGTTTAACCTGGGTGTATTCGTCAAGCGGGTTCGATTCCCTACAAGGTACAATGTGTGAATGTCATTTCTGATGTCATTAGTTTAACCTGGGTGTCGTCTGGCGGTTCGATTCCTACAAAGGTACAATGTGTGAATGTCATTTCTAATGTCATTAGTTTAACCTGGGTGTCGTCACAACGGGTTCCATTCCCTACAAAGGTACAATGTGTGAATGTCATTTCTGATGTCATTAGTTTAACCTGGGTGTTGCACAACGGGTTCGAGTCCCTACACAGGTAGAATGTGTGAATCTCATTTCTGGTGTCATTAGTTTAACCTGAGTGTCGCACAACGGGTTCGATTCCCTACACAGGTACAATGTGTGAATGTCATTTCTGATGTCATTAGTTTAACCTGGGTGTCGTCACAAGGGGTTCGATTCCCTACACAGGTACAATGTGTGAATCTCATTTCTGGTGTCATTAGTTTAACCTGAGTGTCGCACAACGGGTTCGATTCCCTACACAGGTACAATGTGTGAATCTCATTTCTGGTGTTATTAGTTTAACCTGAATGTCGTCAAAACGGGTTCGATTCCCTACACAGGTACAATGTGTGAATCTCATTTCTGGTGTCATTAGTTTAACCTGGGTGTCGTCACAACGGGTTCGATTCCCTACAAAGGTACAATGTGTGAATGTCATTTCTGATGTCATTAGTTTAACCTGGGTGTCGTCACAACGGGTTCGATTCCCTACAAAGGTACAATGTGTGAATGTCATTTCTAATGTCATTAGTTTAACCTGGGTGTCGTCACAACGGGTTCCATTCCCTACAAAGGTACAATGTGTGAATGTCATTTCTGATGTCATTAGTTTAACCTGGGTGTTGCACGACGGGTTCCATTCCCTACAAAGGTACAATGTGTGAATGTCATTTCTGATGTCATTAGTTTAACCTGGGTGTAGTTGTACAAAGTGATCTGATCACTGTGGTTATTGTAACTCCCAATACTTATGACGTAGCTTTAAGGTACAGCGACACCCAGGACCTTAAGGGCTGTAAGTCTCCAGGGCCCTGAAAAGAAATAACCCAGATCATCCCTTGTCATATCAACAGATTACTGTTGTCCAAAGTCTTTATGGTGCTGCAGTTATATATCCTTTATAAGCCAAAGGATTACAGCAAACTGGGTGAGTGAGTGAGTGAGTATGGTTTTATGCCTGTTTTAGCAATATTACGGCAGGGGACACTAGAAATCGGCTTCACACATTGTACCCATGTGGGGAATCGCACCCGGGTCTTCGGCATGATAGGGTAGTATTTTTATCATTATTTTTATGAATATGAATTACCTGGTTGTGTGAAACAAGAATCCAGTTGATTATATATTGGATTGGTTGGTTTGTTGTTGTTAAATGCCGCACTCACCAATATTCCAGCTATATCAGTATATGGCAGCGGTCTGTAAATAATTGAGTCTGGACCAGACAATCCAGTGATCAACACCATGAGCATCAATCTATGCAATTGGGATACAATGCCATGTCAGCCAAGTCAGTGAGCCTGACCACGTGATCCCATTTGTTGCCTCTTACAACAAGCTTACTGAAGACCATTTTAACCCGGATCTTCATGGGTCGATACACTGGACAAAGGTGAAACTTACATTTCCAAAAAGGATGTTGACTGTAACTTGAGCTTTTGGTGGATAGGATGCTGTAGAGTCGTATCTGTTTTCCTTAGAGAAGCAGATACAGGATATGGCCAACAGTTCCTGATTTAGCTCAGGTTCACATTGATAAACCATGTGCTTAGGCCAAACCTAAACTAAGTGTTTCCTGTTTAGGCCTAAAAAAGTATGTTGTGATTCCGATTACCCGACCGACCCTTGAATTCCTATTCTTTTTAAGCGATATAAATAATAATGAGTATTTATACAGAGCTCTATGCATCCACAAGGAGCATGAATATTATCAAAGCACATGAATGCTCATGATCTGAATAAAATAAGCTATTAGATACCATTATTTTTTCCCGGTGTAACAGGCCAGAGTATACCCCTGTCCCAGACTATACCCGGGGTTAAACTGGGCTAGCCCATAGTTGTGCGTGCAACACTAAATAAAGCAGATAACTAACTACTAACCTTGATGATATATCAGCATGGCTGGGTTACACATAGTCAAAAATATCACATCGCAGAGAGGCACTAAACAATGCTTCCTAAATTTTGTATTATGCAGTAATGTAAATGAAATGCACCTACAAATTCCTTTAAATGACACCAAGACAATTACCCTGAGTCACACACTCATATTGAGTGAATTGTCAACTTAATGTTTTAGGGGTATAGTCTGGGCTGGAGGGGTATGCTTTGGCCTGCTCCAGAATATACCCCCGGGGTATAAACTGGGCTAGCCTATAGTATACCCTGGGGTATAATCTGGTCGGGGGTTATTCTGGGCTGCTACACCGGCACCGAGAGACATCGGTCATTCTGATAGAGAAAGTCAACATGATGGCCGAAAGCTTGATTGAATAAGCAATTACACATTGATAAATGTGTTATTAGTTTGTAATTTACTTCTTAAAATTTTTTTTTTTAAATATATAAAATCCTACCTACTTACCCTAAAATGTTAAAGAGGTGTAATCGAAACCACAACATTTTTTTTATTTGGCCTCATGAATTTTGGGGGATCAAAAGGTAGGAGTTATATTATTTTCTTTCCCCAAGCTGGAAATAGCAATCAGCTGTTCCCACACTTTCTCACCAACCTGCTAGTTGTTTTTTGTTTGTTAAATATACCCACAATAACTCCACAAATGTTGTTGCAATATTCATAAGACATTGTATCTGAAACTGTAATGTCACAAGGGATGTTAATTTATATATTCCAATGTGTCAAAAAGTAATTTGTTTGCAGCTAATATTTGAAAGCATTGAAGCTTGACATTGAAACTTGACAATTTTCTTTTCAAAAGGTTACAGGTAACTGTGACTCGCTTTGATCTATAGGATTACCAGCCAGACTGACGACAAAATAAATGGAGAAATAGATTGATATGTAATGTCAGATCAGCTTTAACATGTTTATGTTACAGTTACTTTTAACATATGTTTCATGGAAATCATCGCTGCATTTCCAGTCATACCTTTCATGTCTAATTATGCTGTTGTTTTGAATTATATAGAATACTAAATGTAACCAATAATCAAATTACATTTTACATTTTCTTGACATGAGATGTCCCCAGTCTCTAGATAAAACATATATAGAGGATATTATTCGAGTGCCCATGTCATACTATCTTTACGATACGAGTGCCTAAATGTTCGTATTTCCCGAGCATGAGCGAGGGATATACCTAAAATATATTTAGGCACGAACTGAGGAAAATAAACCCAAATCTACTTTCAAACATAGGCTGGCTAGCCGCCGTTGCCGCATGCAGAACGCAACGTCATAGAAAAAAATTGACATCTTAGCATTGTTCATGATGTCATGTCACCATGACAAAGTAATATTTTATCCAAATGCATCGTACGAAAAATATGAACCCCGATACTTGTGCCCTCATAGGTGATAAAGTAAATTATGTTGGAGTTCAGTTGAAAACCATTATATAAGGCAAAACATTCCATATTCCATATTCTCCACCGCGAAAGTCAAAACAATATGTTGACATATACAGTCAAATGACAACACATATGATGTGCAATTTTTGATGAATGTATTGAAGAAACTTGGATATGGATAACAACTTCTTTTATTTTCTATTTGTGAGTGTGATGTTTCGATAGAGATATTTGTACCATTGTTATTCCTGTTATCCACAAAGTTTGTTCAATATTGTACATTCCAACTTCTGAAATGCCACTCAAAGAAGGGTATATTGTATACATGGATTTGGTAGCATGGTGTCCAAGCTTGTTAAGCACTATACGTGGCTTTTGAGGGTGTTGGGTACCTGGGTACTTAGTTTACAGCCCCAGTATGTACAGATTGGGTTCAGAAATGACAATTTATTTCAATATTTTCAGATTTTATTATTATTTTCATTGCTTTTGAGTGACAAATATGTTGTGAAAGTCACAGGCCCTAGTGTCTTTGTAAGGATTAAAGTTTTAAATTTTTTTGGTTTAGATGACCTCCAACTCGAAATACTTCACAGTACAATAAAGCATGACTAGGCCAGATATTTCGGTGTACCCCACCCATCTGCTTTGCATTTCGCTATGCTACCACCGCATGCAGTCGATTAAAACTTAATGTAAACATATTGATGGATGATTGGCCTATCGATCACCACTCATGACACCTATCAAGTCTTTATCGTTATATCGTTTGTCGGTTGACAGCCAAAGTTGACCGTCAACTAAACGATCTGGTCACAAATGGATGACATTGATCCGCACAAAACAGGGGTGTGGTCGAAGCAAGCCTTCAGATAGTCTGTGAAATAGCACTATTGACTATTGCGTGTATGTTGTGATATACAGGACCTTTCCAACAGGAGCATTGAAGTTGTCTGTATTGCCTTTGAATAGGGTGACCTTGTCAACATGTTTCTGAAACCTTCTTATTGATGTCACATAGTCCATGTTGTCTGATGGAGACATTTTTCCTGCAGCCGTCAAGGAGCCCCCATATCAGGTGACCGAATCGGGCTACGCCAGCTTCCTGTTGCCGATCGACATCTATTTCCGCAACAAGGAATCGCCCAAGAAGCTCAGGTTTAATTATGATTTGTACCTGAATGCTGAAGGTGGTCCGTCCATAAACCACAATCGCTGTGAGAAACTCACCTTCCAGAACCCCACTGAAGAGTTCCGACAGAAGCTGCTGAAGTCAGGAGGGGTAAGTGTTGTTGTGGCAGGTGGAGTAAGTGTTGTCATGGCAGGTGCGATAAGTGTTGTCGTGGCAGGTGGGATAAGTGTTGTCATTTCTGGTGCGGTAAGTGTTATGGCAGGTGGGATAAGTGTTGTCGTTTCAGGTGGGGTAAGTGTTGTCATGGCAGGTGGGATAAGTGTTGTCATTTCAGGTGGGATAAGTGTTGTCATGGCAGGTGGGGTAAGTGTTGTCATTGTAGGTGGGATAAGTTGTCGTAGCGGGTGGGATAAGTGCTGTCATGGCAGGTGGGATAAGTGCTGTCATGGCAGGTGGGATAAGTGTTGTAGCAGGTGGGGTAAGTGTTGTCATTGCAGGTGGGATAAGTGTTGTCATAGCAGGTGGGGTAAGTGTTGTCATTGCAGGTGGGATAAGTGTTGTCATAGCAGGTGGGGTAAGTGTTGTCATGGCAGGTGGGATAAGTGTTATGGAAGGTAGGGTAAGTGTTGTCATGGCAGGTGGGATAAGTGTTATTGAAGGTAGGATAAGTGTTGTCATGCGTTTCAGGTGGGATAAGTGTTGTGGCAGGTGGGATAAGTGTTGTCATGGCAGGTGGGGTAAGTGTTATCGCGGGCAGGTGGGGTAAGTGTTGTCATGGCAGGTGGGGTAAGTGTTGTCAGGTGGGATAAGTGTTTGTAGCAGGTGGGATAAGTGTTGTGTTATGTTGTGGCAGGTGGGGTAAGTGTTGTCATGGCAGGTGGGATAAGTGTTATGTAGCAGGGGGCAAGTGTTGTCATGGCAGGTGGGATAAGTGTTATTTCATTGGGTAAGTGTGGCAGGTGGGATAAGTGTTGTCATGGCAGGTGGGATAAGTGTTAAGTGTTGTAAGTGTTGAAGGTAGGTGGTGTTGTCAGGTGGGATAAAGTGTTATGGAAGGTGGGGTAAGTGTTGTCATGGCAGGTGGGATAAGTGTTATCGCAGGTGGGGTAAAGGTGGGGTAAGGTTGTGGTGGGGCAGGTGGGATAGTGGTTTGTCAGGTGGGATAAGTGTTGTCATGCTTCAGGTGGGATGTTGTAGGTCCAGGTGGGGTAAAGTGTTGTCGCTTCAGGTGGGATAAGTTGTCATGGCAGGTGGGATAAGTGTTATTCAGGTGGGGTAAGTGTTGTGGCAGGTGGGGTAAGTATTGTCATGGCAGGTGGGATAAGTGTTATTCAGGTGGGGTAAGTGTTGTGGCAGGTGGGGTAAGTGTTGTCATGGCAGGTGGGATGTGTTGTGGCAGGTGGGATGTGTTGTTGTGGCAGGTGGGATAAGTGTTGTCGTGGCAGTTGGGATAAGTGTTGTCGTATCAGTTGGGATAAGTGTTGTCGTTTCAGGTGGGGTAAGTGTTGTGGCAGGTGGGATAATTGTTGTCGTTTCAATTGGGGTAAGTGTTGTCGTTTTGGGTGGGGTAAGTGTTGTCATGGCAGGTGGGGTAAGTGTTGTCATGGCAGGTGGGATAAGTGTTGTAGCAGGTGGGATAATGGTCGTGTAAAGCAGGTGGGATAAGTGTGCTGTCATAGCAGGTGGGATAAGCAGGTTATCGTGTGGGATAGCGTTATTTCAGGTGGGGCAAGTGTTGTCATGGCAGGTGGGATAAGTGTTATTTCAGGTTGGGTAAGGTTGTGGCTTTTAGGTGGTGGGATAAGTGTTGTCATGGCATGGCAGGTGGGATAAGTGATTTCAGGTGGGGGCAAGTGTTAAGGTTTTAGGTGGGATAAGTGTTTGTCATGGCAGGTGGGATAAGTGTTATTCATGGGTAAGTGTTGTGGCAGGTGGGATAAGTGGTAAGTGTTGTCATGGCTGGTGGGATAAGTGTTGTCATGGCAGGTGGGATAAGTGTTATGGAAGGTTGGGTAAGTGTTGTGGCAGGTGGGAAGTGTTATGGAAGGTGGGGTAAGTGTTGTCATGGCAGGTGGGATAAGTGTTATTCAGGTGGGGTAAGTGTTGTGGCAGGTGGGATAAGTGTTGTCATGGCAGGTGGAATAAGTGTTGTTATGGCAGGTTGGATAAGTGTTATTCAGGTGGGGTAAGTGTTGTTGGCAGGTGGGGTAAGTGTTGTAGCAGATGGGGTGAGTGTTGTCGTGGCAGGTGGGATGGTGGGTATTGTCAAGGAAGGTAGAGTGACTTGTCATGGAAGGTGGGTGGAGTGTTGTCAGGGCAGATGAGATGGTGAAACTACTTATACTTCAATTGGGTAATTAGTGCATTTTCCCTAAAAACTTAGAGGAATTCTACAATTTAATTTGAAATACAAAAGAAAAAAGGTGGATTAAATATAATAATTTGCTTAGGTTTCCAATCCTGCTTTCTCACATAAATTGTCAGGTGTGTTATTTTTCCAACTTGGCATATAACAGCATGATTTAACACATACGAGCTTGAAAATGGTTTATGTAACATGTCAAAATTTGACCAAAAAAAACAAGAAGAAGTCGTTGCCAGATTCCACTAGATAACCAGGCTTGTGGGTACGTATTATACTCATGTTATACCAACACAATTTATGCTACCATTTCATGTGATCAAAGCTAAACCATGTAAACAAGTGTGTGTCTAATTAACCAACAGTTACAATAGCCCGTGACAAACAGCTGACCAGCTTGTATTAGGAAGGTTAATTAAGTCAAAGCGCTAACGAGCAGGTGAAAAGCTTGGCTCTGAACTCCACTGTGTGTTGGTCAGCTTGGGTAATTAGTGGTCTACACACCTGAGCTTTTGTGTTGTGAAGACAGGTGGTAGTCTGGGTATCAGCTTCCACTGTATCTCACCACATGTAATACCATGGTTATACCCTAGCTGCTGCAGTCTAATGTTGATCTGCAGGGAATAAAAGCATTCCTTACACAGTTGGATACAGACATATGTGGTTAATCACACTGTATGGAATACAAGCAGAATTGGATGTGGTCATCTGTTTGTTTATCATGAAGGTAATATGCCTGATCCCCCATGTTTTGAATGATTTGCAACATTTTTTGGGTTCTTTTGTTTGAGGACTCTTGTGCAAAAATTATGTCGGGTCATATTCAGAATATTTCCACTCTCAGAGTTTATGGGTGTGATTATGTTACTATAGTTACCAGTTTGTTTTCACAATTTGTAACCTGTAACCCCTGCCTAGAATTTTTTTTAAAATAACAAATCCTGACTAGAGGTAAACAAACTTATTTATGTAGGGCTAGATTGCTTTAACCCAAACAACATTTCAAGCAGGTGTTACAGATGAAATTACTTATGAGGAGTGTTTGGCAATAGTAATTCCAGTGGTTGAATAAACATGCACCATATGCACAGGGCACATGCTCTTGTGCTGAGACTTTATAATATAAACCCTCTGTAAACTTTGCTTGTAGTAAGAGGTGTTTTGTTTGTTCGTTGTTTAACTCACCACTCAGTAAATTCCAGCTCTATAGCAACAGTAAAAGGTGAATAAGTTGGATCAGATCGTCTCAACTTGATTCTATTGGTAAGAGTTCCGCCCGTAATCCCCGCTTGAAATTCTAGGGGTAGGGTTAGGATACTTTCCTGACATCTGAATCTTTTTATAAATCCTTTTATTCCCCCAAACTCTAAACCCTCTTTAAAAGCACCCCTTTCTACGAAAAAACATCCATTCTAGGTATATAATGATTAAAAATACAGGGGTTACAGGCGGAAATCTTTCCATTGTTTTAACGTTATCATGCACCACAGTTGCTGAAAATGTCTGCTTTGTCCAGCCAGGGTCGTATCAAGGCTGCCATATAGTGGATATAGCTGAGGTAAGACCATTTACAAACTGTAATGATGTGTGTTGTATGTGTTGTGTACAGGTGCAGTATAACAGCAACTCCCAGCAACCCTTCACCGAACTGTTCGGACCTCCCATCACCCCCGACACTGGCAACAAGAGGCCAGCCGGAATCTCCTCCTCCAGTAGCAGCAACAACAGGGTGAGCCATGACTTTGTCATCCTTTACTTGTGAGTTTACAGATAGGGCAAATCCTTCATCATGTGGACAAGGCATCCAACCTCAAAACAGGAAGTCTGTGGTGAGACTCCCATGAGAGGACCCAGAAATTGTACATGGTTCTAACGTGGGACTAAGGAATGTTTCTATTCTTATGAGCACAATACATTACTGAACTAAGCAGTCCCCTTCTGTTGACAAGGATATATGTAGCAGTGTGTGGAGTAGTGGTGGTCCGATTAATTGAAATAATCGAAGATTGGTTGCAGTGACTAAGCGACCAAGCAATTAAACATGTTTTCTCGTAATCGAACACGACCAATCTTCGAACACTTGTTTGCATTAACAATATTTTTCACAAGACTGGTTTTGTCTGTGTCATTAAATTTACATTTCACAAGCACTACAAGCTCGTTCCAAGTCATGGTTGAATTTATCTTAAAGAATCCAGGAAATATGTGTTCCTAACATACTAATCATCATTTAAATATTTCCATTAATTTTAAAAATATAATAAAGTTTAAATGTTAGTGTTTGTTACTTATTTTTCATCTGTGATATGAGAAACGATGAGAAAGATTGCAAGTTGTCAAGTTCATGTCCTGAAATAGAACCTCTCAATATACCTCAGTTATTTTATCTATCCACCGGTACGCAAGCTTAGATTTGACATTTTCATGTGTACACATGTAAGATCACATTTATTGAGTATTGACCAAAATTCAAGCGTACTTGTACCCAATAGACTTAATAGGAATTGAGTTTTCTCATAACTTTTTGCGTAATTTACGCAGATACGCAGCTTATCTGTACCTCTGTGTCCATATGGATATACAGGTCCTGTAGGTCCAACCTTGTTTTAACTTGAAATAGTTGTTCCACCAGATTTCTCATTCAGTTTTGGTACAAACACAGCTGGTCACTATATCTGAAACTGGCTAGTAAAAGATATCTGGCCTAGCTGGCTAGTGCAAGACACTGATATGCTGGATGTCCTTTAGCTGACTTTTCAAAGTGGCTTTGAACCAAACAAATCACTTGCTGGTATTTTGATGCAGACTTAGAAGCTGATGTATGTTGTGTTTTCAGGACAAGAGCTCAAAGAGCAAAGGCAGCAGCAGTGTGGTGTCTAAGCCCTCCACACCACAGTCATCCCATGCCTCCGCCACTGTCACATCCTCATCTTCATCCTCCTCCGGCCCCGGGACGCAGCCTATTGCGTCCAAGGAACCCAAGACATCCAAATCTTCCTCTTCCTCTTCCTCTAGAGAGACGATGGGCCAGAAGCGCCCCTCGACCACATCTCCCACAGAGCAGACGTCGGGGAAAAAGATGAGGAGAAGCTCCTCCACTTCCTCCACCACAGAGTCCTCCAAACACAAGTCTCACAAGTCATCGAGCAAAAAAAATAAATCTGAAGAGGGCGAGTCAAAGAAAAAGTCATCTTCTTCCAAACATCGCAAAGAGAAATCTCACAAAGACAAGAAAAAGGATAAGTCAGACACTTCACATTCTAAGGGTTCTTCTAATTTGAGTAAATCTTTGCCAGAATTTAAACTTGAGACTGAACTGCTATCCCCACTCAGAGACAGCCCTTCAAGATCTGCCAGCCCCCCTCCCATCAAGCCAGACACGCTTGATTCGGACTGTGACAGTGATTCCAGTGCAAGTCCAAAGCATCCCCTGCCAACACCGAAGAGCTCAACCTTGTCATCACTCTCAGAGGACGAGGAGGAGATGACAAGGAAGATCCTGCAGGGGAAGGCTGAGGATGATTCCAGCAGCAGCAGCTCCAATAAGAGTGATAGTGAGCCTGTCAAGCCTGACTCCAGCAGTGGCAGTGAGGACGAGGATGTCCTGTCCACTCATTCGGCGGACAACAAGCTTCACTACCACTCACACAATTCACCCAAACCCTCAAAGAACACTTCAGACAATCGGAAATCATCTCCACTCAAAAATGAATCAAAAAGTTCTCCCATAAAAGTTGAATCTAAATCATCGAAGTCCAAACATGGCAGTTCATCAAGTTCAAGAAGGCCTTCGAAGCCAGAAACAAAATCGAAAGACTCAAAAGAGAAGAAAGAAAGATCTGAATCTTCTTCCTCTAAACACTCTCACTCAAGTAAAGACAGTCGGGGGTCGAAGGAGAAGAAAGACTCATCAAAAGAAAAGGAAAGTGGTGGGTCAGAAAATGGCATCCCTGAGAAGGCATCAAATGGAGAAAATATCAAGGAGTTGCTGGACATGCAGGTGACCCTCTGTAGAATGACTGATCGCAAGATACTGCAGCAGATTGCCAACTTGATTGGTCAGACTGGTCTCTTCAAGGTCACGGAAACATCCTTCAACTTTGACCTCTGTAACCTTGAATCTGACATAGTTAAGAAAATTAGGAATATGATCTCAGAATCTATTTCGTAATTAGTATTCTATTTGGAAAAGCAAGTTGCTTTCAAATTTGAGTGCTTGAAGCCCATGACAGCTATTGACAGAAGTGCTGTCATTTGTGACCAGTGGGTACAAGCTTCAGTGGACTCTTGTGTCTCTGTGTTTAAAGATGGAAATGGAAAGTTTCTTTCTTGACTGTTTCAATGAAACTGACACATATTTTATTATGTTCAACTGACATTTGTATGAATGAAACCGTGTGAGTTTGCGACAGTGTTTGTGTTTCAGATGTTTGTGTTTCATAGACTTGAAACGTTTGCAAGCAAGTTTTGAAAGGAAACCACTTTAATTTGATATGATGGCCTCAAACAAAGGCATTAATTTGAGTATATTTATGTTATTATTTTATTGCATGAGTGCTGGAAGGTCATATTTAATTTGAGAGGTCAGTTTGTTTATTCTTCTGTGTTGGTCAAGGATTTGTTTACTCAGTAATGCTTTAAGTCAAGTCTAATGAGTTCAATCAAATTGCATTTACTGGGAATATAATGTGTTCTGTCTCACTACTGCCCAAATATGAATCTTCAACGAGAAGGTTGTGACCTGCCAAATGCCATGTCAGTCTCATGTAAGTCATAACAAGATGGAAATATCCACCCTGTATTCACTGTTAACATAGTTATCTTCAAAGAAGCATTAATAGGAATTATTCAAATATTCAGTGACTGCCAACAGCCTTCTGCCTTATAGCAAGTTGAGATACCAGATCGCCATGACTCTCATTGTAAATGTGTGATATCTGATTGTGTTGATAGAAATGCTTGACTGTAACAAAAACAGATCAGATATTTTCTTGTAATGTTGCTATTTAGTATTTTTACAAAATTTGATAAGTTGTCTTTTCTATTTTACATTACACACCAGTATCAAATTCAGATAATAATGTGACCCGAAGTGAAGTCAATTTCTGAATCAAGTATCATCAAAGTTTTCAGCAGAATAGAAGGTTATGATCGGATACTTTGAATACAGTAAGTTGAGAAACCATAGGAAGCATTTGTCAACGTCAAATATCGTGAAAACTCAGCAACATTTCTCTGCTAGTCCTGTCATTGAGTGCCATTAGTTACAGGAACGTGATGTAATGCTCCTCATGTTGCCATTTCTTCTGAACACGGCCCAAGTCACACTCCACACTCATCCTCAGTGTCAATTCAGGCTGATGAGACGAATGTGTTTATTTACTGTACATATCACAGGTAAATATTAGAATAACCATGTTTCACACGTTATTTTCATGTTCATGCTCAGTGCTTCTGTTGTCTCATGTTTTCATTCCAAGAATGCCTTGGCAGCTATGAATTATATTCTCAAGCTTAGGTGGGAAAGATTCCCTCATGTGTCTTGTGTATAAGAATCGTTTTGTGTTTTTTGAAAGATGTATTTCATAGTTCACCCATGTTTTAACCTAAATGACCCATGATGGCAGTGAGAGCTGTCACAGGGGCATGTGTTGGTTGTTGGTAACCACTTCAAACAATGAGTTGGCTTTGAATCATGAATAATGGATGCCAGCAGTTTGTTCAGTATGACAACCAGTTGTATCACCACTGCCTTAGCAGCCTTCGAAATTCATGTTATTACACCAGCCAGACTACTAAATAGTGCAGAGGATAAGTAAAATTTCAGTTATAATCGGAATTGATAAGTAGCTTTTGAGGTCTGTAATTTTGAACCAGTTCTCACCATAGTAAAAAAGTATCTCATTCAGGTCTAGCTCCAAAGTTAGGTTCCACTAGTCTTGTTAAACAATAGTTTCTAAGGCTACTAAGGAACTCTTCATGTCAAAAAGGTACAATAACATGTCAAGTATGTATATTACTGATGTTCAGACATTCACGTTTAAACATGGGCATTGTTACATACCTATACAAAGCTGATTACACAGTGTTTATGGTCGGCATCACTGTGGTAAGTGCTACACTTCGGTGCTCTTGGAGGTGCTGTCCTCGCGAGGGACGAGTCACAATACCAGTGATAGTGAGCAATGTTTGTATTGACGACAGCAGTTAAGCAATAAATATGCTGTTATCCCATTGGTGGTTGTTATAATTCATGAAAGACTGATCCTCCGCTGAGTGATTGAGTTTAGTTTTTTGCTGCACTCAGTGGTATTCCAGTTATATGGTGGCTGTCTGTAAGTAATCAAGTATGGACTAGACAATCCAGTGATCAACAGCATGAGCATCGATCTATGCAATTGGGAACCGATGACATGTGACAACCAAGTCAGCGAGCCTGACCACCCGATCCCGTTTGTTGCCTCTTATGACAAGCATGGGTTACTGAAGATCAAGTCTATCCCAGATCTTCATGCGTCTCCTGTGCTGGGAGTCACGTGACACTGTCAATGCTCAGGATGGTTCGTGTGAGATTGTGTATTAACTTGATCTCAGGGACAAACAAGAAAATTAAAAATCTGAAAGAGTAAATTTAATTTGTGTTGGCATCTTAACAGGTGTAGCATCATCCCTCCATTCAATAACTGAAGTAGCTTGTGATGGGGAGTGTTGAGCGAGCTGTCTAAGGCGCCAGGCTAGTGATCCAGAGAGTTTGAGGTGCTGGGATCGAGCCCACCTGTGATCGGGTGTAAAAACCTTAGTCAACTTTGTGTGCAGACTTTTTCAGTGTTGTAACAACCCCTAGTGTACAGTACACAACCCTGTGCACTTAAGAGCCCACGAATCCGTTGGTAAATGACCAGATGGTTGCCACATAAATACGTGCAAACACCTAGTTGCGGGTACAGCACCGTGCAGTAAACTTGGACAAAGTACTGTGACTATGTGTCCCAGTCCACACAGCTGTGAATGGGTACCTCGTATGGATGGCAAAGCCACATTAACGCCTAGTGGCTGCAAGAGTTGTATAATCCCCAGGGAGTTGAGATTGATAATATGGTCTGTCATTTGAGTTTGATATCCAATGATGGAGGGAAAATCAAAGCGCCTTTGAGCAGATGAGCTGGATATTGGCACTATACAAATATCCAGTATGATAATAATAACAGTTCTATCTTTGCAGAGTTAATATTTAACGTCACACTGGCAATTCTTCAGCCATATCGTGATTGACCACTGAAATCAATGAGACAGGATGTTAGCTGCATAAGGCGGGACTTGGCAAAGTTCTATGTAGTAGACAAGCCAGTGATTGATATTATGAACAACCTCTTCCGTCGTTAGGGGTAAATGACACGCAATGAAACAAGTCACAGAGGCCAACAACCAGTCCAGGCAGTTGACACTTACAGGAAGTATTTGCACTTGGGACCTGTTAGTATGCACTCTCCTACCCAGAGTTCCATGCGGCCAGCCAGCATAGCACTTCTGCCACAGGCCAGAAAGAATGATTCGTCACATCTTACACAGTCCATTCAATATAATGTACATATTTCTTAACTCTTTTATTTTTGATGAGTCTACACATCAAATTACACATCTTTGTTAGAATGGTTTAGTTTCACTGAAACGTGTAACACTAATTCGATTTGCGTAGCGATCCTTTTTTACATGGGTTGTACGGCTCCACGTGCTGATCCAGCCAGCCCCTTTGATATATAAATATGTATTGTCATAAACCTTACTGTCGCAGTTGTAGAAAATTATTGATGTAACAATGTAAAACATTATGAAGACGGCGCCAAATCGCTTGCGTTGGGCCAGTATCTTCTTACGAATATGCATGTTTGTCTACAAACAAGAGAAAAGTCCGGTCACGTGATATGCAAATTAGCCTGTGGCAGTAATGTTATGCTAAGTCATCGCTGCACTGGAGTGTGGTTATTATGCTCACCTTGAACTTCTTCAGGTGTTTAGCTTGATTTTGATAATTTGACAAACCTTGAATCCCAAATGACAGCAGCAACGTCCATATCTGTGTGTTTTCTTTTTATTAAAGGTCTTTGGATGATCTCTTTGAGAATATTCCAGTATCAAGATCATGTTTTATACAGGACAAAAAAGAAAAATTCAGAGAACACTCATAACATTTTATTATAACAAACATTCATTCAGTCATACATTAATTACAACATCAACAGCCTTATCAAGTACTACGAACACACCACCATAACCATTCACAGAAAGTTAAGTTACTTCCAATCTTGGTACTCTGATTGTGAAAATATGAGGTAATTCTCTATGGAGTGAGCTGTGGAGGAGCTGTGTGGAGGAGCTACATGAAGCACAGAGTGGCCACACATCACATCACACTTGGCCGCCTTTCTGAAACACAAAGTAACAAGTTTGAAAATTGAAAAAGTCCAAAAGTTTGAAAATCATCTGTCTCTGACAAGGAATTAATGGGAATGAGTTGGCATTAACCAAGTGTGATCAAGATGTATCACCAATCAGGATTCAAACTAACAACCTGGGGAGTCCATATCAGGGCGTCCGTACTTAATTCTGTGTTTCTCATCGCCTGACTGTTCCAAGATTGGGGCGGGCGGAAAAAAAAAAGGCAAAAGAAAAAAAAATACTATTCAATATTCAAATATGAATGTATACTCACCTTTTGCACGGAGAATCATGGTAACGACAATACAGTTTGCCCCGAAGTTCCCTGCCAGTGTGTATGTTCACTGGTAGGGAACTTGGCTACAGTAAGAGTGGAGTCTTTATGATTTTTGAGACAGAAACTTTATGATTTCTGACAGAGTCTTTGTGATTTGTCACAGAGTCTTTGCAATGATATGTGTTTTAATAAGATAAAATGGTAATTATAGCTTTAGTTTGTGATATTAAAGACTATAAGTTTCCTAAACAACACATAATATCATCATCATCATCATCAACTAGGAACTTATATAGCGCAAGAATCCAGTCAGTATAACTGCTCAAACGCGCTTTGAGAGAATGCATGTCACATGTATCAGCAAAGTCCACTCGGTCTAGGCGTATGTCTTTGAGAATAAGTGAGTCTTGAGATTGGTTTTAAAAGTGGCCAAGTTATTTATAAGTCTCAGTTCTAGTGGCAGATCATTCCAGATTCGTGGAGCTGCTCTGGCAAAAGATCGATCTCCATAGGTGGTGGTCCTTGCATGTGGAACACACAGCATTGAGTTGTCTTGCAACTTTATAATTTACTTAAATAAATATAACAATAGCATAGATATAATTTTTATCATAACTTGCAATGAAAGTCATTTTGATGATAAATATGAGTAAAACACCCAGATTAACAACCCTTGAAGAACTGGATTTTCATAACGAATTATGTCAGTCGCCCAAATGAACAAGTCATAAGATAAGATGATTTCTTTATTATCTCAAGGGAAATGTGTGCATCAGGTACAGTTCTCCATTCTATATTACCCGCAAGCGATTGCAAGTCACAACATCATTACCTCTCGAAATGGAACCTTTACAAAGACCCATTCACAATGCTTAACTCACATAGTCTGTACAGAAACAATTATTTTCAGAAGAAGAAAATTTAGTCAATGTTCATGATGATTTTGATGATGATTGTGATCTACACATTGTTGTAGATAAATGATGACTATCTGTCAATCATAAATAGACTTCAAACTGTAAAGTGTTGTCTCATGTAACGCAATGTGTGAATAAACACTACAAGCTTGAAGGAACAGACTGTATTGTTACATCCCTGCTCAAGTGGTGATTTATGGCTATTTTAATCCCATAAGTGGATTCATTAAATTGGTTTTTATTGAACTATATACTTCCGGAATATTGAAGTAAATCTAAGCATAGAGAAAACTATGCCTACAGGACATATAATGATATATTGTACCTTACCCTCGCCTTACAGATGCTAAGATCACAAAGACTCTCACTGTAACCAAGTTCCCTACCAATGATACACGATATTGTGGAGTTGACCACCATATTTGCACGTGAAAATCGCGAAACTCCTAACATTGCTGGATCGTAAATATTAGTGGATGTGAATCATAAATCGTGACAGGGAGTAGAGATGCAAGAGTTGCTTCATTTTAAATACCTGCTGAAGATTCATTTTTCGTTTTCCAATGAAATTTAATACATTTATAACTCAATTTTTATTTTTTCTTGTGGTGAAACATGGGTGGTGTACAATTGAGAATGGTCAGCGCAAAGTTTAGAAATAAAAATAGTTTTTTTTATTGTATGGGCGGGTGGGATTTTTACGGGCGGTGGGAGATGAGAAACACAGAATTAAATACGGACGCCCTCATGTAGTCCTCAATGAAACACAGAGGTACAGATAAGCTGCGTATCTGCGTAAATTACACAAATATTTATGTGAAAACTCAATTCCTGCTAAGTCTGTTGCGTACTAGTACGCTTGAATTTTTGTAAATACTCAAAAATGTGATCTTACATGCGTACACGCGAAAATATGAAATCTTACCTTGCGTACAAGTGGATAGATAAAATAACTGATGTATACTGGGAGGTTCTATTTCAGGACATAAACTTGACAACTTGCAGTCTTTCTTATCGTTTCTCATATTACAGATCAAATATATATAACAAACACTAACATTAATTTTTTTTATAATTAATGGAAAATGGCAAAATACCCAAACGAGTACTGGGGGTGGGGTGGGGTGGGGGTGGTCCCCCAGCAATTTTGCACATGAAAATATGTTGAAATTATGCTTAGAAATTATAGAAAGATTTATGTGCACACATCATGTGTGTGTATGTGTGGATGCTTGTCCTAGTTCAGACTGACACAGGCTTTCTTGGCCACCAAGATACCAGTCTGCAGTTTAACAAGGATAACCTCACATAAACTTAGCATACTGACTCCAAATTAACCAGTCCTTTTATCATCCCCTTGATGACAAGCACCAGTCAGGGAAACAAGCAGTAGCATCTTTAGGGACCATTCATAATTTATGGCCAGGAGGGGTGATGATGATGATTTTTATAGAGAAGCATGTTCAATGTCACACACACACGCCCACACACACACACACGCACACACAGACACAGACACACAGAGACACCTCTAAATAAGTGACACCCCACCTCCTCCTCCATGCCGTACAAAATCAATGCATACCCCCTCCCAATGTGCAAAATTGCTCTCTCTCGCTCTCTCTCTCTCTGATGACCCCCCTACACACACACCCCACCCCCTACCTCCCCAGAACAAAATGGATGACCCCTCCTTAAAATCATCATCACCACCACCCCCACCTAAGCCATAAATTATGAACTGTCCCTTAGGTATGACATGGTCATGTATCGAATCACAGACCTTCTGATTTCTCGGCAGACACTGTTCATGAGAGTGCGTGAATTGGAAAAGCATTACAGTCATATCGGGGTGACACCTGAATGTGGAAGTAAAACCTGACCTGATGCAAGTGTCAGATGTTTACTGCTATTGTGAAACCCATGAGCACTGATAATGCTGACAAACCTAGAAACCAGGATTTAAATCCTTGATAATGTTGAATGTTCAGGGAAACAATTACACAGTCTAGTTAAACCAACTCGTGTAACTTTTCAATTTAAGCAGTCAGATAATGATGACCATACGACATACATGACATCCTCGAGAGGGTGTGTCTTGATGTACCGGTCTTCTATTGGACTCTACTCACTTCTTACCGGAAATTCAACCCTCTTATTCCACAACCTTTAAACCTTGTTAATGAAACTGTTCAATAACACATGCACTGAATTTCACAATGTGCTTTACTCAACAAGGTGAAATTTCTTACCTCTATATATTCCATTTCATCTAGGGATATAACTTTCCGATGGTATTTCAAGGGGAGATCACTATATTCAAGACCTGACCCTCGAGCTCCTCGGCCAATGGGCTTGCTGTCTGCTGGTGGTCTTGCTGGAGAAGATGCCGTGGCTGGGGGGGATGCAGCTGCTGCTGCTGCACCTGACATGCACAACATATAACACAACTGTGAGTGAGGGACACTATTGATGCTATAAAGAATGATAGTATCATGTCATGACAGCTTTGTATTGGGAGAGTGAGTAAATGAGTGAGTTTAGTTTTACACAACACTCAGCAATAATAGAGCGAAATGGCGGCGGTCTGTAAAAAATTGAGTCTGTACCAGACAATCCAGTGATCAACAACATGAGCATTGATCTACAGAACTGGGATATGATGACATGTCAACCAAGTCAGCGAGCCTGACCCCCGATTCCGTTAGTCGCCTCTTACAACAATCATGGGTTACTGAAGATCAATTCTAACCCGGATCTTCACGGGTCAGTATGGGAAGAGAACTGTGATGCAGGTCGCCATATTTGCTGCTTGGCTGAAAGTTGAAGCCCAAGAGAGTAAGTGAGTGAGTATGGTTTTACGCCGCTTTTAGCAATATTCCAGCAATATCACAGCGGGGAACACCAGAAATGGGCTTCACACATTGTACCCATGTGGTGAAGCCCAAAAGAAACTGATACAGTGCTGACAAACCAATAATGATAATCAGTGTCAATCTTTGGTATCAATCAACAATCACTGGATTATCTGACACATATATTCAATCACTATTGCTTCTCTGCATCATGAACTACAGCAACCTCCAAACGAACAACATGTCCTTGTTCCACTGACATGTTAAAACACTGACTCATGTACATGAAAAGACATTCTGATGTACAAAAATACCTGTAACTTGATTAAGATTGGACAATCGTAACAAACCTACCTGAGGGAAGAATTCTGGATGGAAACTTTATCAAAGGCACATGTGGTTTTATAGTCTGGAAAATAGAAGCAGGTAAGTGAAAGTAGAGGTAAATAATATGTAGCAACATTACATGAACATCACAACTGACAACAAACACGAAAACCAACGCTCAATGAACAAAGTAAACTTACAACTAACATGTATAGTCTGTTTGGCTCAAAATGATACTGTTCCCACAACAGTTTACTGTTATTTTACTTTGCATGGAAAATCAAATCAAAATGATGATAGTTTGTTAAGTAACTTTTTCATTTTGGAGACAAACATTATGAAACTTTTTCCAGAGTTGGTTTGATGTTTTCAAAACATTCTGTGTTGAAATGAATGTTTAATCATGAACCCAATTGGAGTTAGATTGTGATTCATCTGTATCATATTTACCCAAACAGACTAAGACAAAGTATTTGTCAAAGTACAGGATTTGCAAGATTCATAGGGCAACAGTTACTTTACGTAACAAGGACCACCAAAGCCTGGGCTAGAAATTAACGCTGAGGTACATGGTTTCAAGGTCAGTCAACAGTGCTTTGAACAACATCTGTAAGAGCTAATCTCAGTAACTAATGCCCATACTAATGTTTTGACTGAGATCTGTGTTTGATACAATGAACTAGGGTGTATTTCCATGAAACAGGACAACAATTCCCATAACTTACATTCTTTGTTTTCAAAATTTGTCTTCTGATTGAAACAAGGGGAATATAGCAGTGTAGGAAACATAGCCCCTCCCAACGTCCGAGACGGGTGAATTTATGGAGGACGGGTTAAAAAAATATCTAGTCCGTCCTCATGTCGGGTCAATTTTAGCAAACCAATGACATATATATAATGATTATAACCTTTTTGAATATTTACTGCCGAAGGTGTTTTATTTATATTTGGAGGACAGGCTAGATTTTGGCAGGACTGGTAAAAAATTTGACCTGCCAGTCCTGTGGACAGGCTAGATTTTCTACATCTTTCCTACACTGAATATAGGAAGAGAGTAGGTGCCACTATTAGCAATATTTCAGCAGTATCATGGTTCGGTACACCAGAAATAGTCCTGGCGCTTCATACTAATGGGGCAAACGCTTTTACCAATGAACTACCTGATGGTCAAATTAGTAGTTGCTTCATTCTAATACAAGAGTTTAGTCCAAATACACCACGGCCTGGTCGCTGGTGATTGATCGATGAATTGTATTTTTACAAGGTTTACATCAATTTGAGGCAGACAGTTATATTTGTTAAATGTAGGCTTGGCTAAAATTGCAAAGAGCCAATCAGGGCAGGGAGTTGCTGTTGAAGGCAGCTCAAAACCATGGTGTAACTATACAATACACCACGGCTGAGATCAAAGGGACTGCAGTTGGAGCATGGTTCAATACGAAGAACATGGACTGAAAACTGTATACCAAAGACAAGACATTTTGCAACTGTGGCTGTAGAAGAGTGTTTCTTCACAGAAATATTATATAACTACATAACCTTATAATTTATACTTACAAATAAGGCCTTGTCTGTAAGTTTGTTAAACAAGAACATCAGCAACATCGTCTTGCTTATTTCACCAACATCAATATTATTTTCTGCAGTGACTTGCATTAAACAAATAATTCTTTCCCTATGCAAATTTGCACTGCTTCATAAATTTTCCGCAAAAAGGTAAAGGTAAAAAAAATATGTCCAGACAGATGAAATAACAAATTGATGAAGATGATTGGTGTCTTGTGTCCAAGAATGGACAGTATTACTGATTTACTGCAACCAACATGCTTTTCAAATATATGCATTGCAATGCAATATTTTTTCTAAGGACATATTGGTATACTGGGTATAAAAAAATATATTAGGTTTTGGCATTATCTGTATGGTTTAGAGGAATACTGATCTAGAGCAATTCTACGGGAGTGGTTGTTGCTTGTGTTATTGTTTTTTCCACCTGGGTACCTAGATGATATCATAGCATTTTTAACTGATTCACAACCTCTGCTGTGCCATCCTTAACCATCTGGATACCAGAGGGACATATATGTCCTTCCTCTTTAACCCACACTTTGAAGTCAAATAAAATTGAAAATATATCACGCACACAAATGTACTTCACATTTTGTAATTCTCTGGGAAATTTGTTATTTCTTGATATCGTCCACTATCGTCTTAGACAAAGCAGAAGTGCTCAAAACGACCTAACAAAATTGGGTACATCATAAACGTCGTTATTTTGGACACATTACAAAAGTGCGATTCAGAGCATTATTTGACTTGTGTTTTTAAATGTAAAAAATTGACAATTACTCGAAACAGAGACCATATTATATATTATATCTCTGCTCGAAAGCTTGAATTCCTCAAATCACACAAATTATATGAATAATATCAGACATTTACCGGAGCACCTTTAGAATACAGCACCACAACTTCTCGTGAGGACGATCTCTGCCGTAGGTCACATGTCATAAAGACAAGCAACCAGTTTGTGAGAACCCGTCGGACGCGAACCCGCGACCTTTGGATTGTTAGCTCGACACCTAACCGACTGAGCTACGTCCACACTGTTGCACAAGGTGCAAATTTATCGAGTCATTCCTGTGACGTCACGGAAATGAACGGAAAGAGTCGAATAGGTCACGGACAATTACGAAGGTTACGGGTAGACTTGGTGTCTCGTGGATTTTATTCTCCTGGACAATTGCTCGAATGGATCCGATGCCATTTGGCACACTCGGCCCCATTCCGTAATCTACAAATTAAGGTGTGGCATGGAATGAGCCGATATGCCTCAAACTGAAAAGGGTTGTTGACGCCAGGCGTCAGACGAGATTTCACGGTGCATGCATGAATGACGCGATTTATATAAATCGGTGATTTTGTGACAGAAAAGTGATGTAGGGGAACACTGTAAGGATAATGTGGATCACACTAAGGAACGATGGAGACATGAGCATGTGTAGTGACGCACGAGGGTGAGTTAGCCTTCTAATGATTACTGAACAAAATTTTATGTTATGCGGTGAAAGAGGCTTTGAGTGCAAATTCCAGGCCAATTTCCATTAGCCCAAAATTTCAACATTAACCCATTTCATAATGTACTTTCGATGTTTTGGTTTCCGCTTTTTGTGTGAAAAAAGTATTAAAATGCAAAAGGAAAACAACAATGGTACTCACGTATTACACCGGACATGTACCTGCTATATTGGATTAGGTCCCTAACCCTAACCCTAACCCTAAACCCTAAACCCTCAGCCCTAACCCTAACCCTAACCCCTTGAAATATTCCTAATAAATAGAATGCATTGACCGAACCACCGGACATGTACCTACTATATTGCATTAGGTCCCCAACCCCAACCCTAGCCCTAAGCCCTAGCCCTAACCCTAACCCTAACCCCAATCCCTTGAATTAATCCTAATAAATAGAATGCACTGACCGAACCGGCACAAACACAACTGACGTGTCTAGTGTAATGCATTATTACCGCTTCGAAAAATAAAATACTAATAAAACACTTTTCTATGTAATGGTGCAAATTACTGAATGACAAAAATATATATGTAAATTAAAAAAATTACAAAATACAAAATACACAAAACATAACACCTCAGCAGCCCGTAATACAAATAAATATGAGCGTATTACTATTAGTGAAAAAAGAAAAATATTTCAAACTGGTGCTTGCAAAATATTGCGCATCCGCCGGTATACAACTACTGGAAACTCTCAACATCGTTGGGCTTATGCAATGACATAGCTCGTAGAGATGAAACACCAGTGAGCGGAGCTTATACGCACTCGCTGAGCCAGACAACCGTGTTGCCATGCAGGCGTCATAGGGCATTGTATCCAGAACATGCTTTCGAACAAAATCACATTACATTACGTAAAAGGGTATTATGACGTATTTTTAAAGTTTGTGGTGCTGTATTCTAAAGGTAGGCCCATTTACCTTTATTGACATTTACCTTATCTGTAAATATCCACATAAAAGAAAAATATTCCTTGCACATGCATCTGGCAAAGAAACTATTCAACAGGCTCATATTGTAATTGAATATCTATGCATCAGAAATTACTTGCACTGTAGGGATACTGTATGTTAAAACAAGACAATAACCATCATTGATATTTACAAATGTTGGCATCTGATTGGCATTCAACGCTCTTTTTGTCTGCTGTTAACTTTTTGAGTGAGTGACATGATTAATAATTGTTCATGTTATAACTGAGACAGTGGATATCCTAAGTGTCCAGAATAGGAAAAGAGAATTTTTTTTTAAATATTTCCTCTAGGTTTTCTAAAAAAACAGGTTTACCCCCTGCTTGACCACATGTCCACTGACCAACTGCTTAAGTATTAACCCCCTGGTCAAAACAAGAGTGACAAGCACTAAGGTTCTACATGGTCAAGATATGCAGTGTGGGTAATAAGGCCTGGTCTATCATATTATACCTGATTTTGATACTATATCGGCATTTGGCCCAAGACTATATGGTATCTGTAGAGTGTCACTCGCTGTCAAACTGTGTTGGTTCCACTCCATTGCTATTCGAATCTCAGATGGTTACCTGTATTGCAAAATATTGCAATAACATATATTTGCCAATACACAGCCCTACTAGGCTGTGTCAGTGAATGACATTGAAGAGCACGACATGAGCTGTTAGAAGTCAAATAGTGAAAGAATGTGGAATTAACTGACATATCACTTAACTAAACATTTCTTTGAATCAGAACATCTCATGTTCAAACACACGCTTTAAGCTTGAAAAAAAACAGACACTCAGAACACATCTTATGATACATTAGTAATCGCTAAGTTACCATCAACACTGTTCTCGCCGCTGAGGCAGCCATCTTGGCAAACGAAGGGAAGTCGGGGAAGGGAGGTAATTGGTGGGGAACAGGTCAAAATAGCCACACGAAAAAATGGCCACACTGACCCTAGTGAATATGGCCACACAAAAAAGGTCAAAATGGCCACAACCACTAGTCAAAATGGCCATACTATAAAGTCATCATGGCCATAGAAAAAGAAAAAATGGGCATACATTAAAAAAAAATATTAATGAGTATTGTTCTTGAAATGCTTTCTTAATTGCAGTAAACCATGCTTGTCGTAAGAGGCGACTAACGGAATCGGGTGGTCAGGCTCGCTGGATTGGTTGACACATGTCATCGGTTCCCAGTTGCGCAGATCGATTCTCATGCTATTGATCACTGGATTGTCTGGTCCAGACTCGATTATTTACAGACCGCCGCCATATAGCTGTAATAAATGCTGAGTGCGGCGTAAAACTAAACTCACTCACTCATTTTCTTAATTGATACTTTGAGATTGTTACTTATTTAATATTTTGAGATTTTTTTTTATCCTTTACTTTGAGATATTTTCTTATGTTATACTTTGAACTGTTTAATTACTCCTCGCAATGTTTTCTTAATTAATACTTTTAGATGTTATTTCACGACCCTTGATCATTTGTGTTTTGATAACATGACAATAAGTAATTGACTTATAAATGTCATGACTTAGTGTCATGATACTTTACTTTATAATGCTGGAAAGAACTTTGCTGGATATCACTTCCCTTTAACATGGCTGTTAAGTGTGTCAAGTTACAAATGTACGAAGACCGTCCGGAAAACCAGCATGCAATTGATTGTGATGGCTGTAATGGGTGGACTCACATGTCACAGGACTTGTGATACCGGGGTGTTAAGAACTGACTACATCTACAGCTTGTGGATAGTGGAGCTGACTTTCCCTTCACATGCTGCAGATGTTCCGACCATGGAAACTCATCAATTCAGATCGAAGTTGGTACATTCTCAGTCGCACTAGGAAGCTCTGCTGCCGAACTTGCCACTTCAAAAATATGCATGTGGAATGTGGTGGTGTGGAAGAAGTCGTCGATGTCGCTGAGAGGTCAATGGAGCTGTCCCTTGAGGAAGACAAAGACGAGACTCCTGAAGTGGAAGAGCAGTTCACCCTTCTCAAGACCGACTCACAGAAGGGAAAACCCCTACTGATGGAGTCTATTGGATACACATGCATATGCCCAAAAGGTATTTCCCTGTTCTCAAATATATAAAATAATAGTAATTCATTGTATAGTTTGGCATGAAATGCATGTGGACATGGTTTTTTGTAAATATCTCTTCATCCAATGACCCAATCGATCCCAAACTGTCAAGTGGATGTTTTGTCAGACAACCTAATCACATTGTAAATCACCGATTTTATGCATTTTTATTAAAGAATCTGTCTATGTAACTGTCAACAAAATAAACAGCAGAACGCAGACTGCTTGCAGAGGGAGGGAGCCAATGACCTGTAACAAGCTTAAAGTTATATATTTACATCAAAGGTGTCACACACAAAAATATCTAAACTTTCAAACAGTTTCAGGGAATATGTCTAAAAAAACTCTCCTAAAACCAGGGAATATGTATAATTCCTGAAAAGTTTAGGTATTATGTATATTCCCCGAGTGAATCACTCAATCAGACATTACACATATTACCTGAAAGTTTCAGGGATTATGCATATTTCCTGATTATACATATTCCCTGTAACATATATACACTTTGTTATGGGATGTAAATATAATATATACTTTATAACGTATCGTGATATATTTATCAAGTTTATTTTCATTGGCTCGTTAATTACTAATCAACATGTGATTACATACATTGTGTAACCTTAATTAAGATGTGAATCCAGAAGTACCTCCTTAACTAATAAAGTCGTAATTGATCAGTTAATAGTGACTCTCTGTGTTTATTGTAATTGTTCGTATACTTTTCAAGTGAAGGAAGCCGCCATGGCAAATCGCCAGTCTGGACGCTCCTTTGCTGAAAAGACCATTTGTGTCCATTTTGATTTTTTTGTGGCCATTTTGACTTGGATGTTTTATGCCCATTTTAACTTTTTGGTATGGCCATTTTGACTAGGGGTTTGTGGCCATTTTGACTAGGGGTTTGTGGCCATTTTGACTGGGGGTTGTGGTCATATTGACCTGTGGCTATTTTGACTAGGACCCAACTGGTGTAGCCTTCTCTCAAAATATTGTCTGACTTGTGTTCGTTCTACGAGTGAATGAGAAAAAAATATGTTTTTATGAGTTGAACACATAAGGAGTTAAATGTTTATAGTTATGAGTACCTGGTAAGATGCGGTATGTAGACTACACAAGTTAACCCGTGATATCAGATACATTTTTGGCTTTTCATCTGTACACCTATCATCTGATGTGACCTAGAAGGATGTATTATAAACTACATGTTTGTATAAATGTGTGAACCAATATAATTCCTGTCCTTTTCATTATATAGCACAGGTAGGTAGGTATCACGCATATATGTATTATTAAAATATCAGTACATACATTAAAGACATGATTCTAAAGCATTGCTTGTATGAGATGAAACATCAGCTCATAGGAGATATTGCTATCACAATTTGGGGAAATTTATTTAATCTAGTTTAAAATTGACAAATCTAAACACGTTATTCTTTTCGCAAATCTTTCACTTTAACATATTTTCATTGCTTTTATCGTAGCAATGCCACAAATCACACAACAACGCATAGGGGAAATCTCCTGCTCATACTTTGGTTGGTTAATTGGTTTGTTGTTTAACGCCGCACTCAGCAATATTCCAGCTATATGGCGACAATCCAGTGATCAATAGGATGATCATCGACCTATGCAATTGGGATACGATGACATGTGTCAACCAAGTCAGCGAGCCTGACCACCCGATCACGTTTGTCGACTCTCACGACAAGCATGGGTTGCTGAAGACCAGTTCTATCCCGGATCTACAAGGCTACTGATCATACTATACTCATGCCAATAATGGTTGTGAACACAGACACACACACACACACACACACACACACACACACACACACACACACACACACACACACACACACACACACACACACACACACACACACACACACACACACACACACACCAATTAAAAAAATTGAAGGGGGAGACAACCATTATTGACATGAGTATATAATTCACAGACTTTCCTAATATGTTGCCAAAATACCACAGATATCGTACCCAATTGCGAAGTTGCCAGTCAAAATCACAACACTTTTCAAATAATCCCAAAACACCAGGTGTGTACTTTCTTTTATACGTCAGTTTAGTTGAAATATGGCTGAGTGCGGCGTTAAAGAAAGAAACAATAAAAGCTCAAATTTCTGAACCGTACAACATCATTGATTAGTTAGTTTGTTGTTTAACGCCGCACTCAGCAATATTCCAGCTATATGGCGGCGGTCTGTAAATAATCGAGTCTGGACCAGACAATCCAGTGATCAACAGCATGAGCATCGTTCTACGTAGCTGAGATACGATGACATGTGTCAACCAAGTCAGCGAGTGACCACCCGATCCCCTTAGTCGCCTCTTACGACAAGCATAGGTTTCTCAAGACCAATTCTAACCCGGATCTTGACGGGTATACAACATAGAACACACATACAACACAGTTTCATAACCTAACTTGTATATATGTCCATCCCATCTCGACGTAGCTTCTGGGACGAAGCGCTCCTTAAATCCTGATATTCGGCCTGATGAACAGAACAGACTGTTTGTTTCTAAATGCCTCTCAAGAACCTTATGTTTGTAAAGCTGCACTCAGCAATATTCAACCTGTAAAGTCATTGATATCCAAGTCTGTGAATAAATTCGTCTCGGACAGACAATCCAGTGATTAACATATTGTGCATTTTTACGCAACTGGGATGCGATGACATGCGTATATATTCACGGGTGGTCACTCGTGTGAGGGGTCAGTTCAAATATTCTTTGTAGGGTAAGGACCCTAAATCCTTATGTTTTGAGGCATATCCCCCTCCCCCTCCCAAAAATACTTTTGAAAATCTTGAAACCGTGTTAACACTCAAAACTATACTATTTCGCATAACATGAACAATATTTTGAAATCATTAAAAAAGGAATGACAAATTAATGAGTATCGAGAACTTCACAGTTTGGACAGTAATTCTTCATGAGTGCAATCTATTAAATATATATATATATATATTTAAAATATACTTAAAGGCCATTAATCCCTATTTATTTTCGCAAAGCTTCACGGTATACCTTGTTTTCGTCCTCGGTATGACAAACATGGCTCTCAGTTGGCGTAGCCTCCCCTGGTCTAAGTCCTTATACGATGGACATCTTATACCCCCAAGTTTCCTTGCATTCTTCGAAACATGTGCATCAAGAATAGAAACTACGGTAAGTTCTTACAGCCAGAATAGCATTTTTTCATGTCGAGTATAACATGTATAACATGCATAAGATGGTCCACCTTACACAAATAAAAAATAAACGGATTTTATGGGTATCGTGAGTAATTTGTTGTATATTTTGTGATTAATTCATGACGATACGCTGTGGTTCACACTTCAATGAACGTGAACAATTCATCAACACTTACCGAAAGGTTATGGCAGTGTATAAAATATGGCCCGTCCCACCGTCCTTGAAGGTCTATTTTTGTGAAGGACTGTCTATCAAATAAGTAAGGCCGTCCTTTGGTCTGGGGAAATATCTGAAAAAGATCAACTTAACTTGTTGATTTTTTATTGTTTTAGTTTTGGGGACTGGCTGTGTTTGTTCAGGACTGGTCACTTTTTGGACTGCCAGTCGGTGGACCGTTGTATTTTATACACTGGTTAGGACTATTTTATTATTATTATTATTGTAGTATATTTATATAGCGCACATATCCACGCAACTGGTGCATGCTCAAGGCGCTGGTATTTTTCTCTCGATCATTGGATGTCAATCTCAACGGCACATCGCCTTATCAATCTCAACTCCCTGGGGAGTATACAACTCTTGCTGCCACTAGGCGCACCGAGTTATTGTGGCTTTCTCATCCTAACGAGGTACCCATTCACAGCTGTGTGGACTGGGACACATAGTCACAGTACTTTGTCCATGTTTACTGCACGTTGCTGTACCCGCAACTAGGTGTTTGCACGTATTCATGTGGCCACCATCTGGTCATATACCAACGGATTCGTGGGTTCTTTTAAGTGCACAGGGTTGTGTACTGTACACTAGGGGTTGTGACAACAATGAAAGAGTCTGCACACAAAGTTGACTCCAAGGTTTTTACACCCGGTCACAGGTGGGCTCGATCCCGACACCTCAACCTCTCTGGATCACTAGCCTGGCGCCTCAGCCAGCTCGCCCACCGCGCCCCACGACTACTTTCATTACCTTGAACTGCCGGGGAATCCCAGTGAATGATGTTGTCAGTCTCTGTGGCAAACTTTATGGATAGCAACTGGTTCTGTTTGGGAATAAAGAAGTTGTTATCCATAAAGTTTGTCAATATTGTACTTCCCAACATATCAAAAACGTTATCAGCATGCTCATATTTGATAAAATATTTCAACCCTTTATGACGGACTACTTGATTTATCTTGGCATTGTGAGTATAATTGTAAAAAGAAAAATGGTGGCGCAATGGTTTGGAATGAGGAGATTCGAACGGTTGCAAACGACCCGCAATATCGTTTCGAGGAAATATTACATGCAACACACCAGTAACGTCCCTTGGACAGGTTTTCAGACCTGACGGAAATAGCCGAATATGACCCAATCGTACCATTCCGGGACGACCGGCGTGTTACGGAAAGATACGAGTGATGACGAATGTCACAATAGGGGGCGCTTGAAACTCAAGTGAGTGAAAATACTTCCTGTCTCTGACGAACGTTTAGGTCTTGTTTGACGTGTTCTGTTGACTTACAAATCGCTTGAAGGTCCGGGATAATTATGTATTGATTGAAGTATGTAATTGCGGCCTGGTTCAATACTTATTCGAATCACCTCAATGCAGCTGGATTATAACGGGCTCAAGTTATTACACTTCCCCATTTTCTCATCTTGACCTCTCCCAGTTTGGCTTGTCAGGTTGTGTGGGGTCTTACCTTACTGTCACGCGACGTGTATATTGAAATTGGTGTCACATTGAAGGCTTTGGAGTCATGGCGAGGCAGTCTTGCAAAACAACTGTCCATATGTCGAACTTCCTGAGAAACGTTGGAAGATGCCTGTATGGGAATGTGTATGTTTGGTTTATGGTGACGCTCCTTGTAGCAGACTTGAGTCTGGCGGAGGAGAACGTTTACATTCACCATATAGCTGTCAACATAAAAGGGGGACAAGATACCGCTAGCAGAGTGGCAAGATCAACAGGACTAGTTAATAAAGGACAGGTAAGTTGAAAACCTTGATAAAACAAATTAAATTTTAAATTAGTTATGACTTTTCTGTTGTCTTATTGTACACAGCCCATGTCAAGGTATTCATGTTGTCTAGTGATTTGTTTTGACAGTATGAGGCAAGTGTACACTCAGCAAAAGTACAATTCAACATATTTCATTCCTTTTTTCCCTTGTCTGCATGCAGTTATGCCTGTAAGTGAAATTATTAATCAAATGATATGAAATTGTTTCACGTATGAACCTGTGTTTTTCACTCTGGTTCTCTGTGTAATGTACTTTCGAGGGTGGTAGTTGACTGCTTGCATCCCTGTGAAACAATGAACTGATGGATTGCAAACTCAAACTTTCTCATCAAAGTGAACCATTAAGAACAAATTATGAGCTGTCACCACCACAGATGCGAAGGGAAAATAAAGTAGTCGAAGAAACCTTTTGGGGGGTTATGTATCAGGGCTCCAGATAAGGGCCGTATCGGCGTATGTACGGATAAAAAATTGGCACGATACGGTAGGAAATAATTTAGGAAACATAGCAGATACGCACCACAGCAATGGTGTACGGTCTTAGAATCATTTACAGACGTATTTATCTGAAAAAGTATTTTTTTATTGACCTGTTTACACAAGACTAGCAATGTTGTGGTGCATATATGAAACGAAACACAAGATTACTGATACACCATTAAATTCCATTTAGTACTCTAAATGTAGGCTTAAGGTTTTCGAGTAAATATTGAAAAAATAGTCGTAAGAACAAATTATCTGGCGTTCTGTATGATTTGCCACAAAATACATTAATACATTATAATAAGTCACATACTCAGTTGTTGACATACAGCATAGCATGGCACACCATACTTGAAACTTAATTCATTTATTTGTGGACAAAGTAGGTCGACAGTGATGTGTGAGTGCTTATGTAAACAAACATAGCTGCAAATCATTTGGCACAAAATCATAAATGGGTCAGTTCATTTAGCCTGTGGAAGATATTGCAGTGTAACAATTTTTACAGCAATATTACACTAGTGTAATACCGCTAGACATATGACGTCATAATGGTTTACAGTTATGATGTCACAATGCTAATATCTCCGTCACAGTGGTATTGGACCTTGCTTCACTCGCAGGCACTGTAGGCAGTTTCTATCAAATTATGTTGGAAAGTAATAAACAGAATACTAAACCAACTTCCGTGAAATGTCATTTTTATTAAACTCGTGAAAGATTTAGTATCAAACTCGCTTTCACTCGTTTGATGCCAAATCATAACTCGTTTCATAAAAATGGTATTATACGGAAGGTCGTTTAGTATCATTAATTTATTACCCTAGTTTGTTTACTTATGGGCTGATAGGCTTAACTAGTACACATGTTGGGTGGGTCTTGAGTAGGGGTACCCATACTTGGTTTGTCTTTTGATATGTTATTTAATGACTGTAATAATTTACAAAGTTTGTCCATAGTTATACACGATATAGCAATGAAGTTGCATGGTATCTTCTTTCTCACGTTTAAAGAAATTAGTTCTGTTATTGTCACTATAGTTGCAAATAGAGTCCTCTATCTGTGTGTCAAGATCGGTGCTCTAGTAACACAGTTCTCGAATGAGACACATTTGATACCCAAATTGTATGTCAGTCCTTATATATCTGTAGGGGTAGCCAGTGGTTAAAGCGCTATTTCGCCCCACATGGGCACAGTTATGTATCTGGTGTCCCCGCCTTATATATAAGACATTTATCTCAGTCAGAAAGATATATATAAGTGAAGTTTATACTTTTGGCATTTGCTGAGTTTCTTCCAGTCGCATGTCTAAGAATTTATGCATGTTAACTTTCTCAAGGTCATTTCAGTTGCTGCCTAGTATAGACATAACATATTTTAAAAATGGTCATGAGATTTATTTTAACTTTGGATTGCAGAAACAATATATTGACATTAATAATGACCACGTTCCTGTAGAATTTACTTAGTGGGAAACAGAATTGTTTTTCACCTGCAAGTGTTATATAATTGTTATAAAAGCCTTTCATTCACCCTCCATGTTTTAAAACAGGCTACTCACTGATTAACCTTCTTGTACAGCTGTTACTTGGTAGTGTTTGATTTTGAATGCAATTGTAAATCTGGTGTATAATGGGTAAATGAAATATATATGTTATGCTACATGTACATAATATGTTCATCAGGAAGTCACTTAAAACCTCTATTTAATATTACATACACCTGTATACAATTCTTGGTGCCACAATTTTTGCAGCAAGATGTCATGTTGGCACAAATTAAAACAGGCACATTATTTGTTGTTTTTGTAAACTGGTAAGTAAGTGATCATTTGTGACATTGATTGTTGTCAATGGTGCATTTGTAGACATTGCCTGTGGGGAGTCGGTGATACATACCATGGTGACCTTCCCTTCTGGTTAATGGGTCCTTTGTTTGAATATATACATGGCCACTTGTTTTCACTGGTAATTGGTTGTCAGAATTGTGATCAGGTCATATTTAAATCAACCCTGCCCATTGTGATTGTGGATTCTGGCCAAATTTCCCTTCCCTCCCCCCTGAGGCAAGTTTTCTTGTTCAGTGACAGTGATCTATCTTTATCGATGTGTTTTAAATATATGTTGGTGACATACCTACATATTGACTTAAAATTTGACTTCAGCAGACACTAGTTTCGAGAAAATATAGACAGTTGCATGTGATAATAAGTGAAAAATAAGGAATTTTGTGATCAATCTGCAGACCATTCAGCACTAGTTATCAATATTCTTCTAAAACTCCAGCAACATCGAGTGAAAAAGATTGTTGATGATGTAAAGGAGAAAACTGTTCACTGAAAATTCAAGTGAAATTCTGTACCATGATAGCATCAAAGAGTCTTTGCAATAATCTGGGGTCATGTGTGGTATCTGATCTATGGATCTGTAAATCTTACTTTTGTCAATCCCGAAGTTCCCTTGACTCGCATGCTTAACTGTGGCCACTGCTATCCCAGCAAAGTCTAGACTAGCATATTCATGTGATTGCCAAGGTATTGAACATACAGATCGATCATCATCACGAGGCATGTCATTGTGATGCTCATGACTGATTAATGATTTTGAGTTGTTGATGTGTTATCAAGTTTATATTTTAAATAATCTATTTAGACAAGACCGTAATGAATATCTTTTGGATAATTTGTCAACATGGTGTATTCAAAATGAGTTCAATCTTTTACAGTCTTCATTGACTGACTAATCAGTGTTGAATGTTTATTCACTAGAAATCAATTACTTTGAATGCTGATATGGAAAGCAGTGGAATATTGCATTTTGTCATTAACATGACTACTGCTGTACAGTGAAATACTTCACATGATCCAGCATGTTGATGATAGATGTCACTGCTGCCATATAACTGAAATATTGCTGAGTGAGGCATTAAACAACTAACCAATCAGCCAATGATAGATGTCAAGGTCCTAATCATATTGATAGTGTCATGATATTTAATCGGCTATTGGTGTGGCATCATTTATCAACTATGGTGTAATTTATCCATAACAACATCTACGGGTAAATCAACTGTATTCAACAACAGAAATTGTGAAAACTTAGGCCTGATATTCTTCCCACTAGTTACAGATGCCTGAGGGAGTCGATAGCTTATAGCGACATGTGAGTAACAATGACAGCTATAGTTACTGCGTGTCCTCTGCTGGTGGCAATGTTGTCACTCAGTGACGTATGACCGGCACATCAACTGTATACGCAGACATAGAAGTCGCGGTAATCTGTTGTGTCTGCTGCCTAACAAAGATCAGTCACAGTCTCGATCATTGTGTTCTGAGCTTTTGAATCTAAGCAGTGACAAAAGAGTCTAAGGATTTTACTCTAGACATTGGGACTATAACAGAAGCCCAAAATAAAAATCATTATTACAACTATTATTCTTTCATTCACCCTGGGCACAATCAGGCCTCGATCTCTCGAAACAAACTTAAGTCTGAGTTTTCCCTGAAGTTACAGTTATAGCTCAAATTTGAGAAAACAGTAGAAAATGCATTTCCCAGATTAAACTGAAATTGAATTTGAAGTTAGTAGATAATCTGAGTTTGGTAGAAAGGTTACTTGAGCTGTTTAGGCTTTTTGGTCTTAGAATTCAACTAAATTAGAAATTCAGCTGTTTCAAATTGTCAAATTCAGCTGTTTGAGAAAATTTGTCAAAAATTGCTCAGTAGTAAGGAATATGAAACTTCTTTATATTAGTACATAAAACAGTTTTTTCTTATTTTGATAGAGACTATGTTGATGAGCTTTATGATGGTAATGAAATAATAATAATCATATCAATTATTTTGTGTTTAGGCATAGTATCTTATTTACAATTTTAAGGTCTAATGGAATGCCTTACCATCACCCTGCCCTTCCCCTGTCTAGTCTACATAAATCATTTGATTACTTGTCCAGAGGACACTGAGGTGAATGAATTATGAACATGCTATGACTGTGGCCATAACGTGAAGGTCATCAGGGTGCAATGCGGGTTGTTCTTGTCTTTGTAATTTGAAGGATAAATCAGTGATATATCATTCTTGTCTCTGGCTGCGTGATTGCCGTGAGGATTGTGTCATGTTACGTTGATGTGTAATATGTTAGCTTATATTTAGATGCCTTGTTTAACATATCTGATGTGATACACGTTACCACTAGGGCTGCAATGAATACACTATTTGGCGAGTATGATACACATCACGAATATTGGGTAACGAATATGAATAATTATTCATGAATACAATATTGTAATTAAGTGATTGATGCACAAAGTGGAACGCCTATGTTGATAGTGTTAATTTGTCACAGCAATAATCAGTGATCTCACGACACTCAAATTTGGTATGTAATAGTTAGTCAACGGTACCATGTGCGGCCTTGTCAAACTAACATAGCGTGCGCTACTACAAGGCTAGTACATATTCCATTCTTGCATATCTCACTTTGA